AGTAGTCATATATATAAAGAAAAGACCAAAGCTTTTCATGACAAAATGTCTTCTCGTAAGACATTTGTTTTAGGTCAAAAGGTCTTACTTTTTCACTCTCGTCTCAAACTATTTCCCGGAAAGCTTAGGTCCCGGTGGGTGGGACCATTTGTTGTTACTAATGTATTTGGTTATGGTGCCACAGAGATTAAAAGTGAGAAAACGGGAAAAGTGTTCAAGGCTAATGGTCATCGTTTAAAGCCATTCTATGAAGGGTTCAAGCCTCTTGATGTAGAGGTTTTCAAGGTGGAGGTGCCGAAGGAGGGAGCACCTTAGACATGACATGAAAGCGTCTAGCCAAAGACATTAAACAAAGGCGCTGATTGGGAGGCAACCCAATTTTATTGCTTTATTTCCATTCTCGTTTACTTTTAGTTTGWTTTAGTTGTCTTTGGGTTGATGAGTTTTGTTTCCAGGTCGTCCTCTATGAATTTGGAATTCTACCCCCCCCCCTTCTCGGAGTACAAGGAGGCATCCACCAAGCCTGGATCATGCATTGGGCGATAGTCTACATATTCAGGGAAGATTTCTTGTTCCCTTTGCCTATTATTGTTTTTAGACTATGTCATTGAATACATATATTGAGGACAATATATGATTTAAGTGTGGGGATGGGAATTAGTGTGGGGATTTTGCATGATTTAGGGGCTATTTTTTCGAATTTTTGACTTGTTTTCGGGGCAATTATAAAGTAAATTATACGAGTTGAGATTTTTCTGCTTATAATGCCCTGAAAACCATAGAATGAATGATTATGTGCTTACTTGTGTAGTCGTGATTAGCACATTTGAGGCAACCATTGTGAGTCTTGCTAATTTTATAGAACAAATATGCACCCGTGAGCTTTTGAGCCGAGATTGAACATTTTATTCAATCTTATTTCATTTATGTGTGCATTGCATCTTCCATGTTCATTTTACTCTAGAACTTGCATTAGGATTCTTCAAGATTGCATTTAGGCGATACTAGTGTATGGAAATGAAMAAGRCCRTCTTTGATGTTTATTTTAAACCATCTAGCCTAAAAGCCTACCCTTGTGTGTTTATCCTTTTTTATCACCATTTTTGAGCCTAACTACCGTTCTTTTG